CCGCGCGCTGACCCGCCCCCTGCGCCCACGCAGGACGACATGCAGGTAGTGATTGGGCAGCAGCTGCGCTCGCAGCGCCAGAAGGAGCTGAATGCGGCCGCGCAGGCGCAGTCTCCGCGCCGGGCCGCACCGCGCTTCTCGCTGCGGGACGGCTTCCTGGGCAACCTCTTCCGCAGGACTTGACGGCCCGAGAGCCCAGGTGGCTTCCCAGGAGCGTCGGTGCCCTCCTCGCCCCCGGCTGGGAGGGGCTCCTGGCCTTTGGGCACTGGGTGGGTGGCGGAGCGCGTGCGGTGGGGCCGGCTGCTTTTCGCGTCTGTGCAGGCCGACCTTTAAGCAGGAGGTCCCTGCCCTGGCATGCCTTTGCGCGGGACTGCATATTTATGTATCAAAATCCGACAGAGTAATATATAAATCACAACACAGACCTAGCTTACATTCTTGTGAAAAAAAATCTGAAACTTTATTGTAAAAAAACAAAAAAAAAAAACCAACAAACTCTTAGCCCCTGGGAGCGGCATGCAGATGCCTCTGGCGGTCAGAAGGACAGGGAGAAGGCGCGGTAGCCCAGGTTGGTGAAGACATCCACCCGGCAACTGTTGCCAGCCGCCGTCAGAACCTGGTGGGAGAGGGGCGTGAGTCACCTGAGCATGCCTGGGCCTCCTCTGGGCCCAGCCCAGCACGCTGGAGGACCCACCTTGCACTCAGGGGCTGCCGGCTGCTGGTTCAGGCTGAGGCTGAGCAGTCCCGGGGAAGAGCCGGGCACCTGGGCCTTGAGCTCCCCGCTGAGCTGCCACTGGTTCACACAACGGCCCTGGCCGGCGGACAGAATCTAGGGGCACAGGGAGACGGCTCAGGATGGGAGAGGAGGGGCTGGTGAGGGTGGCAGCAGGGAGATGCAGGGGCCTCACCAGGTCCTGGTAGAAGGCGACATGCTTCTGGGGCGCCCGTATGGGAAAGATGGTGGTGGGCGTGGAGGACCGGAGGTGCCAGAGGGTAAGGGCTGGGCCTCCTCCACAGACCTGAGCAGAAGAGTGGAACCCCAAATGCTGTGAGCCACAGTGTTCACTGGCACGGCCTCGAACGGCTGCCCTGCCCTGCATTTGCCCCGCTCACCATCCAGTCTGAGTCCGTTGCGAGGCATCCGATCCAACGCCCATTATGGGGCCTCGCACACTCCTGCGAGGGAAGGGGGGACCAGGGACTGTCTGCAGTGGGTGCGGGGGTGCGGGGAGTAGGGCAGAGGGAAGGGGTGTGCCAGAGCTCTCACCTCGTGCTTGTACACCTCGACCGTCTGCACCTCCTTGGCTGTGCGGAGGTCTGCGGGGAAAGGGCCGCAAGCCATGTGCTCACCTCCCGGGCCTGCTCACACCCCTGTCTGCAGCTCCCACCTTCACCTCCCGGGCCTGCTCACACCCGTCTGCAGCTCCCACCTTACCCCAAAGCCGCACAGACCCGTCCTCGCTGCCTGACAGCACCTCGGGGCTCCGCTCCCGCAGCGCCAGACAGTGGATGTAGTCTGTGTGGCCCCGCAGGGCCCGCTGTCGGAGAGGGCTCGGGTCAGGAAGAGACCTCAGGTGGCCCCAGCCCCAACCCTGAGCCCAGGCCTGTGCTCACTGTGAAGGTCCCAGTCTCAAGGTCCATGGTGTGCAGCTGGCAGTCTCCCCCAGCCAGGATGAGGGAGTTCTCCTGTGGAGGAAAGGGATGTGTGTGACTACCCATGGGGCAAGGAGCGGGGCAGGGCAGGGGCCCGGGAGAACAGTCACAGACCTTGGGGACCAGCAGCAGGGCGTTGATCTCAGGCACTTCCAAGCTAGTCCTGGGGGAGCAAGGCCGGAGTGTCAGCATTAGGGAGCGGGCCTTGCTCCCAGTCAGCGCCGTCCCCCTCCACCCCTGGGCCCCTGACTCACCTGTATGGGGGCTGACGCCGCCACAGCTCCTTGCAGCCCTTTCAGGGTGAGCAGAGACACTGGGTGACCCTCAGGCCACCTCGGGGGCAGTGCACTCCGGCCCCTCCCCAAGTCCCCAACCCCTCACCTTCTTGAGGATCTCGGCCCAAAGCCAGGCCTTCACCTCCCCGTCTCCGGCGCTGAGCAGCTGACGGTCAGTGGAGACCATACTGTAGACAGGCCCATCATGCGCTACATGCAGGGCAATGAAGAACCTGAGTGAGCCCAACCCACTACCCCACCCCCATGCCTCCTGCCACCAGGGTCCCCTCAGCCGGGCCCTGCGGGCAGACCCACCTTGGAAGGTCACCACGGGCTTCTTACTTTCCTCCTTGGCTTCTGAGCTCAGAGCAGCAGACAGGCTAGGAGGGGGCAGGGAGGGGGCTCAGGAGTCAGTGCCTGGGGGTTGCTCGGGGTGGGAGTGTTGAGGAGAAGGCCCGGGGTACCTGAAGACAGCTATCTGCCCGTAATTGTTGCCGGCAGCCAGGAACTTCCCACACGGGGAGATGCTCTGGGAGAAGATGGTCATGTGCAGCCGCTGCAGGGCCTGGAACACCTCCATCTACGGCGAGACCGGTCCCCGGCCCGCAAGGCTCAGCCACTGCCCCCCCCCCCCTTTTAGACTTATTTTTATTTGGCAGAATTATAGAGAGGGGAGGAGAGACTCATCTTGCAGCCCTGGTCACTTTTCAGGGCTGGGCCAGGCCACGGCCAGGAACCTGGACCTCCCCTGGGTCTCTCCCACGCCAGTACATGGGCCCAAGCACCTGGGCCATCCTCTGCTGCCCTCAGGTGGTTAGCAGCGCGCTGGATCGGAGTGGAGGAGCCCAACAGGGATGCGCAAGCTTAGCCAGCGAGGCCACAACTCTGGACCTTCAGTCTTCTTTAAGGTCACTTCCCAGGCCATCCCGGGGCGACTCCATGAAGGGGTGAGGAATGGATACCAGGACAAGCACCAGCCCTTCCTGCCACAAGGCGCTCACAGGAGGCCGTGTCACGAAAACCAGAGCTGCCACAGGGAAACGCTTAAACAGCAGATATTATCCCAAGAAGTGGACACAGGTCTGAGCTGACAGGTAGGCCCAATGAGGTTCTCCTGGGTTCCTCTGCCAGTCCCACCCTCTCCGTGAAAATCCGAGTCCCACACACAGCCACGCCAACGGCCCACGGCACGATCCCACGCCGGCCTGGACACGGACTACAAAACCCCAGAAGGCACCGCGCAACCACGTCCGCCTCACCTGACCCAAAGGCACGGCGAGCGGCACGGAGCGCTCCATGTCGGAAACTACAAGTCCCAGAGTGCTGCGCGTGACGCAGCCGCCCGATTCCGGACGTGCCCGCGAGCTGCTCCCCTCCGCGCTGCCGCACCGCCTCAGTCCCCCGGGTCGGGCCGGCAGGAACGCGGTCACCGCGCACCCCCGGAACGGAGAACTCCGCGAAGACCCCCGACGCTGAGCAGTGGCGCCCGCAGGAGCCCACCTACGCCGGGCCCCTCCCCCAGCCCGGCGACTAGAGCCGCCCTCCGGCCGCGCGGTGCCTCGCCTTACACGCCTGCGCAGAAGCTCCTGCGCGGCGCGCTCCTAGAGCCACACCCCTTGCCTGGGCCACGCCCCCAGAGGCCCGCCCCTCGCCGCCGGATCCCACCCCTCTGCCCGCAAGCCCCCGCACCCTCATGATCCTGCAGCCGCCCCTGGAGCGAGGCCCCCGAGGTCGGGCCCTGCGCGACCCCCGGGCCACCTTGGGGACCGGTCGCGGCCTGGATGCCAGGTGAGCTGTGGTGGCGCTCGGGTGGGCCCCTGCCAGGGCTGGTATGCGGACGTCGTGGAGAGGGGCACCTCCGAGGCAGACTGCCGGATGACCCGGCCTATGACGGCGGCTGGACAGTCATGACCGGACCGAGGTGGGGGGGGCGGGAGCCTGGCCAGCGCTGCAGGCGCAGCTCCTCAGGAAGGGGCCCAGAGGGTGGGTGCCCCGGGCCCCCTCTCCGTCAGCAAGGAGCAGCACCCGGGCGCGCTCCGGCAGGGCCTGCTTGTCTCCCTGTCTCCCCAGGGAACCTTTGCGCAAGCACTTCCTGTCGGAGGAGAACATGGCCACCCACTTCTCCCGACTCAGCCTGCACAACGACCACCCCTACTGCAGCCCCCCTGTGGCTCTGCCCCCCGCCTTGCCTCCTGTCAGGTGGGTCCTCAGGCCACGCCAGGCCCAGCCTGCAGCGGTCTGCGTCCTGTGGCTCCCTGCACAGTGCTCCTGGGAGCTTGGCCCGGCAAGGCCAGCAGCCTGAGCCAGCACCAGGCCCTCATTGTCTTCTCTCATTCCAGGAGCCCCAGCTCTGAAGTGCTTCTCTGGCGCTACCCTGGGAACCTCATCCCTGAGGCTCTGCGGCTGCTGAGGCTGGGGGACCCTCCTGCGCCCTCCTCCCCTGCCGCTCCCACTGGGGACGGGAGAGAGCCCTGAGCGTGTGGATCCCAGGGACCAGCAGCCACCAGCACCAAAGGACCAGGTGCCCAGGCATCCACCTGCTGACCCGAGGACTGAAGATGCTGAGCCCCAGGGTGCCCTGGGATGGGAGGGCCGGGAGCGCGGGGAGGGAGGCGGTGGTTCCCCAAGACCTGGATAATAAAGACTGTTGAACAAACTGGCTTTCATCTGGAACCTGGGCCTCTGGGGAGGCTGGGCCGGCCGGGCCTGGAGGCGGGGCTTTCTCTCAAGGTCTTCCCTGGAAAACCTTCGTGCCGCAGGCCCCGGCATTGAGAATGCGTGAGTCAGGGCCCCGCCTCCGCCCCCGCGGCGCTGACTCACTCCCTCACTCCCTCCTGCAGCTCGGGGCGGCAGGCTGCGACCGGGCACTCTCCAAGCCATTTAAAGTTAAGATTCTTTTATTAATAAATCCTCCCTCCCCCGCAAGCCTTCTCCCCAAAATAAATATTTCCTCCCCCTTTGCGGGTTGGGGAGGTCTGTGTTTTAGGGACAGCCCCCCTAGAGGGCCAGCCCCCTAGTGTTAAGAGTGGGTTCCCCACCACCAAACTGGGACCCTGGTGCAGAATCTCAGTACTTGGGGGGAGGGTCAGTCTGGCCCCCAGGAATCAGTGGGCGTGGTGGGGGGGAACCCTCGTGCAAATACTGCAGTTTCCTAGTCAGTGTCAGCTGTTTCTGTGCGGGTCCTGGAGCCAGAGACGGACCCTCGGACCCCTGGGAAAGCTCTGAACCCTGGCAGGCTGAAGTGATCCACGCGCCTCGCCGGTGCCCCACTCCCAGAGCTGGAGGAGCCTGTGTGAGTGGCAGGGGATGGTTCGAGAAGGAACGAATGAATGAATGGGTGTGGCCCTGCTGGCAGCAGACGGCCCTCGGTCACTGGATCAGAGCCACCACGGCGGGACAGCCCTCTCCACCGGTCTCCTCTATGGGGGCTGCAAGAGAAGAAGAGGGTCGCGTGCTGAGCAGGGGGGCGGCAAGCAGATGCCAACCCAGGGTCCGGGACAGGGGCTTACTTACTAGTAAACTTCTCTTTCCTGCGGCACCTTCTCCAGACCAGGAAGGCAGAAACCAGCCCCAGCACGAGAACCAGGCTCAGGACGCCCCCCAGGATGGGCCAGAGCAGCCGCCAGGTGGAGGGAGGTGCCGCTGCGCCTGCAGGCAGGACCCAAGTCAGAGGTCGGCCTCTCCCCACTCCCGTCAGATCCCACTCCCACTCGAGAGGTCCTTTCGCCCCGTCCCGCACTCACAGCCCAGGCAGAAGTCACTGTGCGGTCGCGCCGGGCACGACGCGCAGTCCATGCACTTGTCCAGGTCCGTGCTCCAAGCGCTGCCGTGAGAGCAGGGGGCGGTGCCTGGGGAGGGGGCGGTGGGTCAGAACTGGGGGTGGGGCGCGGCTATTCTGGGGGCTGAGGTCAGGGTCAGTCAGTAACGTGAGTCACCGGCGCCCTCCCCCCACATTCCTCACAGGTGACCGCACGGCCTGACCGGGGATTAGGCTCCCCCACCCTGGCCGCCCAGGAGCGCTGGAGGGGAGGCATTAGGACCTCATAACCCCCCGCCTGGCTGCGAGCGGGTGACTCACTCCTGGGCACCGGGCCCGACCCCGGCCCCTCCCCCCGCATAGCTGGGCACTTAAGTCACCGGATGGAAGGGGGCACCCCACATGGTATAGAGGGCACAGGCCCCCATGTCTCCCGACATACTCCCCTAACTCTTCGGTGACCTGCTGGACAGTCCCCGAGTTGACCAGTCAGGGCGCGTTCTCTTACCACATCACACTTCGCCTTCAAACTCACTTTCTCTCTCCACTTGTAGTCCGGACTTTGGGGACAGACACCGCCCCCCCCAACAACTGCACAGGCGGAGAAACCCAGCCCGAATATACACGAGGATGAACTTGAGAGAGGGATAGGGTCTCCCGAAGCAGGGGCTGCGCCTCCTGAAGACCACCGGGCCCCAGACCCCAGTATCCGTCAGGTCCCCCCACTTCCGCCCAGTCCCCGGGGCAGTCCTTCTGCTGCCGCTGATCCCCGCGTACCTGGCGCCCTCTCCCCGGATGCGGCACGTAGGAGCGCCAGCCCGAGCCCGAGCACGAGGAGCTGCAGCCAGGAGCGCCAGGAGCGCCACGAGCGCCTAGCCATGGTGCGCGTCCCGCGGCAGCCGCCGACTGCGCCCGCCGGCCGCCGGCGGGGACCCAGGGCCCGCCCGCCCCCGCCTTCCGGGGCGGGTCCGCGCTCCGCCCGCCCCGGTGTGCCCCGGGACGCTCCGCCCCGCCGGCCCGCCGCTCCCAGACTTGGCAAGGCAACGCAGGCTCTGCCCACAGCTCCGCGTGTTCGAGTCCGAGGGCTGTGGATCGGGGTTGACAGGCAGGGAAGACCCGAAGCAGGTGCGCCGCTGCTGTCTGGACTCCGGAAACATAACAATAACAACATAAAACCCCACTGGGGGGGGCCCTGGCGCGGTAGCCTAGTGGCTAAAGTCCTCGCCTTGCGAGGATCCCAAGTGGGCGCCGGCCGCTCTACTTCCCATCCAGCTCCCTGGGAAGGTAGTGGAGGACGGCCCAAAGCCTTGGGACCCTGCACGCACGTGGGAGACCCATAGGAGACGCCTGGCTTCAGATTTGCTCGGCTCTGGCCGTTGTGGCCGCTTGGGGAGTGAGCCAGCGGACGGAACATCTTTCTTTCTCTCTGTAGATTTGACTTTCCAATAAAAATAAATACATCTTTAAAAAGAAAATAAATACACGCAGTTCTTGGTTGGTGCGTTAGACACGTGCTGTCTCCATTCTGCAGAGTGGGAACAGGAACCTCGGAGGGCGAGGGGCGCTCCCGAGTCCCAGCGCGAGGAAACGCTGGGGCCGAGACCCCATCCCCGTTTGTCTTAGCACACCGCGCCCTCCCCTCGGCTGCGCATCCCCACGGCAGCCTGCCTGAGTCCGCGACCACGCGCACCCCGGCGGGCGCAGCCACCAGCCCACCGAGCGCCCCCCTCTGTCCGGGCTGGAATTCCAGTACTCGCTGCAGTCGGGGTCAGGGTCTCTTGCCCCTCCCCAGGAGAGGTGGTCCCGTGACGTCACACCTCTTTAAGACCCCCGCCTGCGCCCGCATCCCCACACTCGGCCTAGGAATTTCGCCGGTTCCAGTTGCAGGTGAGCTTAAGAGAAGCCTGAGGCTGCGCGCAAGGGTGGGGGCGGCGCGGGTCGGGGTTCCTGCGCAGGATCTGGGCTGTGCGTCCGGCGGCGGCCACCGGGGCCGACCGAGTCCCGGGGCCGGGGGTACTGCGCCTAAAGCCGCGGCATCGGGGTCCCGCGGCGGCTCCCGAGGAGGTTAAGCGCCCCTCCCCCTCCTTAGAGACAAAGGCACCGAAACTCCGGACACCCCTCCCCCACCTGCCTCGCCTTTCTAGGGCGGGGCGCCCTTCCCCCTCACCTGCTGGATCCGACCCTGCTGGCCGCGCCGCCATTAAGGCCCTCCACAGGTGCGCGGCCTGGTTCCCTAGGTGGGCGGCCCAGCCGTCGGGTGGGACTAAGCCTGCCGAGGGTGGAAAGAGAAGGGGGCTAGGGTATGCGCTCACTCAGAGGAGGAAACCCGGTCCCCATCCCCCGAAGTCGTGAGCTTAGCCCCTGGGAAAGTGAATGAAGATTTGGCTTGCACCCTCCCTCGACGGTCCGCGGCACTGGCGAGTGGAGGGGTGGGGATGTTGGAGGATCAGGTGCGCTGTGAACCAGAAAAATTTTAAATAATAGGGAGCCTGGGCTGCACCCCTGAAAGTACTAACTGCCTTCTTAGTAGGCTCACAGGCCAGGGTGGTGCAGCAGTAACCTCCTGGGAGGACCCTGGCCTGGCATTTGGGGCCCTACCTGTATGGCATGCCCTACGACCCCTAGAAGCGGAGGGCTAGCCTTGGAGAAGGGAGCGCTCCTCCAGGGACCTGCCGCGCCAGGGCCGGGCCAGGCCTGGCTGCAGCACCTGCTGAGTGGAGCCGAACTACTTGGCTGAACTACTGCAGGGCTACAGGCTGGTTATATAGTACACCTGCTGGGACTGATGTTGCCCGCCCTTCAGCCCCATGCTGACCTGTTCAGCCCCATGCTGACCTGTTCTGCAGGCCGTTGGCGTCCCGGGTGGTACCCACTGCCACTGCCTCTTGAACATCCCTCTGCTTCTCTGCCCATGCAGTGCCACACTGTCACCCGCGCCATGGCTTCCGCTGCCCTGCAGATCCTGGGGATCGTCTTGACGCTGCTGGGCTGGGTGAATGCCCTGGTATCCTGCGCCCTGCCACTGTGGAAGGTGACCGCCTTCATCGGCAACAGCATCGTGGTGGCCCAGGTGGTGTGGGAGGGGCTGTGGATGTCCTGCGTGGTGCAGAGCACGGGCCAGATGCAGTGCAAGGTGTACGACTCGTTGCTGGCGCTGCCCCAGGACCTGCAGGCTGCCCGTGCCCTCTGTGTCGTTGCCCTGCTGCTGGCCCTGCTTGGCCTGCTGGTCTACCTCGCTGGGGCCAAGTGCACCACCTGCGTGGAGGACAAGGATTCCAAGGCCCGCCTGGTGCTCACGTCTGGGATCGTCTTCATTCTTTCTGGGGTTCTGATCTTAATCCCGGTCTGCTGGACAGCCCACGCCATCATCCAGGACTTCTACAACCCGCTGGTGGCCGAAGCCCAAAAACGAGAGCTGGGGCCTTCCCTCTACGTGGGCTGGGCAGCGGCTGCCCTGTTCATGCTGGGCGGGGGGCTCCTTTGCTGCACCTGTCCCTCTGGTGGGTCCCGGAGCTCCAGCCATTACATGGCCCATTACTCAGCATCTGTGCCCAACACCACGCCCCGGGGCCCTTCCGAATACCCCACCAAGAATTATGTCTGAGGGGTGGGGGGCCAGAGCCCTGAGAGCTGCAGCTGGTGTCTCATTCTGGGATTGGATCTTCTGTATGTTTTGCTCTTTTGGGGGGCACCCCAAGGAGATGGCTCAGGCTCCCATCTGGGCTCTACCTGTGTTTCTTTCTCACCTCTGCATTTTTTTCCTGCCTTGCAAGCCACCCTGCTACTGTGGAAGTGAAGGCCACTGCTGATGTGCTTTGTGACAGAGTGGCCTGTCCCACGAGCTCCTGGACTGGCAGGGACGGTCACAGTCCCTCCCCAGCCTGGCAGGTTTGTGCAACGTGCAGAGGCCTCACCTCTCAGCCCTGGAAGAACGAGCTGGACTTTTCTGTCTGGTCTCTGACCGCCCCCCATCCCTCCTCACAGGTGCCCCCAAGTGCTGTAGAGACTGCCCACCCCCACTCACTGCCGATGCAGTCCGTGTACACATCTCTGGCTGAATAAAGGTCATGTGCTTCATGTGCCCTGTTGCTGAGTGGCTAGGTCAGGGAGGGGCACACACATCACACACCACATTTTGTCCTGTGCACCCTGGCTCGGATGCCATGGCCCAAGTCCCCATTCAGGCAAAGCCACCAACTGTTCCTGCCCACCTGGGGTGCAACAATCAGGAAATCCAGCTATGATTTTAAGAGTTATTTATTTGAAAGGCAGTGTGACCAAGGGATCGAGAGCTTGCAATCATCTGACCCATCCCCCAAATTCCCACAATAATCAGAGTTGGGTCAGGCTGAACCCAGGCACTTGAAACAACACCCAGGACTCCCAGATGGGTGACAGGGCCCAAAGTGCTTGGGCTGCCACCTGTGGCCTCCCAGTACCTTGGCCCTCCACGGCCATGTGCACTTGTTGTGGAGGAGGGGGGCTGACCCCTCCCAGAAGGTGTGGTCTAGGCCTTTAAGTAGGTGGTGGCTGGGTAGGGAAAGCATGGGATCCAGGAGGCTCAGGTTCCTGGGCAGGAGAGGGGTATCCTGTGTCCTAGCCAGCAGAGGAAACAATTATTTGGAAGAGGCAGTGCTAGGTTGGGGCACCCAACAAGAGCACGAGAGTTGCCCCTGAAGAAAGCCAACAAGAGGCAGTGTCCACTTTTGAGCTTCTGAGTAGGCAGGAGGGTGAGGCTCCTGATGGTGGAAGGCAGTCTGGATCTGGAGGCTGGCCGAAGGAGCAGGTGGCCTGCAGCCCACGCCTCCACCTCACACATAGTCCCTTTTGTCCAACCCCGAAGCCCCCGAGCGGGAGGGAATGGAGTAGCCCAGCCGAGGCCCACGGGGTGGCTCCAACTGGGCTGGGGGGCAGGTGCAGCAAAGGAGCCCCCCGCCCAGCATAAGCAGGGCAGCCGCTGCCCAGCCCACGTAGAGGGAGGCCCCGAGCTCCCGCTTGAGGGCTTCGGCCACCAGCGGGTTGTAGAAGTCCTGGATGATGGCGTGGGCTGTCCAGCAGACCGGGATGAGCACCAGGGTGCCGGCCAGGAGAAGGATCACTCCCGCTGTGAGCACGATGCGGGCCTTGGCACCCTCATCCTCCACGCAGGTGGTGCACTGTGCGCCTGTGATAGCCACCAGCAGGCCAAGCAGGGCCAGCAGCAGGGCAACGACACAGAGGGCGCGGGCAGCCTGCAGGTCCTGGGGCAGCGCCAGCAACGAGTCGTACACCTTGCACTGCATCTGGCCCGTGCTCTGCACCACGCAGGACATCCACAGCCCCTCCCACACCACCTGGGCCACCACGATGCTGTTGCCGATGAAGGCGGTCACCTTCCACAGTGGCAGGGCGCAGGACACCAGGGTTCCCAGCCATCCCAGCACGGCCAGGGTCATCCCCAGGAGCTCCAGGCCTGCCGAAGCCATCTGTGCCCTCAGCCACACGTTCTGAGCCCCGGTGGCCTGCTTGGTGCAGAGAGCAGGAAGACCTAGGACTGTTCTGTCATTTGCAGCCTCCTGGGAAGGTGCCTCTGACCCTGGCCGGGCTTCCGTCTCACCGTCCTGCACAGCAGCCTGGCTTTGTGTCCTCGCAGGGGCTCGTGTCAGTCAGGTGTACTGCGGCTACATCCAGGCTGGGAGGGGAGCTGCGTCCTCTTGCTGCTGGCCCGTTCTTGCTCCCTCTCTGGGTTCCAGCGGGGATTGTGCCACCTCCTGCAGCAGGCAGGGCTTTTAAGGCCCAGGCAGGGGAGGAGCGGAGCTAGGTTGTGGAGGCTGCCAGTGGGGAAACCTGAGCGACTGAGAGGAGGGGGCTGGAGTGCGTGGGCAGGGAGTGGAATGAGGGGACCTGAGGGTCAGGGAGGGGAAGAACTCCCCAGCCTGTAGGAAACAGGGACAAAGGATCTGGGAAGACCTAGGAGGAACTGCCAAATAAGGAATCCAGGTCCCGCTAAAGACAATGGGCTGGGATACAAGAAGTATCACAGGGTCCCCAGTCATGCCCCCTTGGGCCTACCTCCTCCCTGGCCTCCCACCCCCGGGCCCCACTGTCTTTCATGATGCAAACAAGCTCCAGCTCCCCAGTATCGCTCTCCCCTACCCCCCTCACCACCCGCACACCCAGGACTCCGGAATCTGATCTGTCTCCAGTCTCAGCCATTGGGGCCCTCACAGCAACTCCCCAGAGAGCCCCGCTGGCAGGGTTCCCCTGGCAACAGGTGCCTGGCAGCCAGCTCAGGTGGCATTGCCTTGGCAACGACCTAGAAAACCTCCCTCCTGCCAGTCCCTGCAGCTAAGGTGTGCCCTCGCTACCTGTACTGCAGAAACTGGGGGGCTGAGCTGAGCTGTTGAAGATTTCCAGAGGCCCCCAGAGAAACAACCCATTGTGGAGGTGGGGGAGGGACACACCCAGACCTGTAGTGTGAAGGGGGCCAAGGAAGGGGAAAAGGCAGGAACCCAGGGCAGGGGTGCAGCTCGGGGCCCAGCTCCCTTCACCCGTGCATAACGGGGTGGCTGGACTCTAGAGGAAGTGGCCAAGGGGGGCGGCGTGAGACCTAGTGTCCCCAAACCCTGCCTTCTGCTTCACAAAAAAAAGATCTCTTTCCAAGGGCAGTCTGGAAGTCATACATGTCAGATCAAAGCTCAATTCCTGATCCTAGTGGTCAAGTCTCTGACTTTCTTGGCAAAAACCCTTTTGGGTGGGGCAAACTTTGTGGTAGTTTTAGATGCCAATGTCCCACAATTAAAGAGCTTATTTGAATCCCTGGTTCTTCACTTTAAAAATTATATATATTTTTTAAAGATTTATTTATTTATGATTACAAAGTGAGATATACAGAGAGGAGGAGAGTTAGAGAGGAAGATGACTTACTCCCCAAGTGACCACAATGGCCGGTGCTGTGGCGATCCGGAGCCAGGAGCCAGGAACTTCTTTCCAGATCTCCCACATGGGTGCAGGATCCAAAAGCCTTGGGCTGTCCTGGACTGCTTTTCCAGGCCACAAGCAGGGAGCTGGATGGGAAGTGGAACTGCCAGGATTAGAACCAGCGCCCATATGGGATCCCGGCACATTCAAGGCGAGGACTTTTAGCCGCTATGTCACCAGGCTCCCCCCCCAAAAAATTACCTATTATTTTTATTTGAACGTCAGATTTACACAGATAAGTAGAGATAGAGGGAGAAGTCTTTTATCCACTGGCTCACTCTCCATTTGGCTGTAATGGCCAGAGCTGAGATGATCCAGATGGGAGCCAGGAGCTTCTTCTTGGTCTCCCATGTGAGTGTAGGGTCCCAAGGACTTGTGCAGGGAGCTGGACCGGAAGTGGAGTTAACCAAGTTGCTAGCACTGCAGGTGGTGCCTTAACCTGCTGATGCTCCAGACAAGGCAGTGGATGGTGGTCTCTGTACAGACGACCCTGCACCCACGTGGGAGACCCGGGAGGAGTTCCTAGCCACTGGCTGTTGTAGGAATTTGGGGAGTGAACCAGGAATGTCTGGGACCCACAGCAGCTAGACCCACAAACCTATGGCAGTCATTCTGGATGGTTTGTGCACTTCCCAACCCCTCCAGGGTGCCAAGCAGTGCTACAGGAGGGGCAGGGAGGGACTAACACAGGGGAGCAATAGCCTTCACCAAGGGCTCTAACTTTAGTGGTTGTTCCGGGTCAGAGCCCAAGGGTGGGAACATGGGCGCTGGGCGTAGGTTTTAGTGGTCTTTGGAAGGTTCTGGCGTTCACCAGATTCGCCAAGGAATGTGAGACCCCAGAAAGCGTTTGGGGTTTGGGTCTCCCACCCTGTATTCCGCAGGTCTGCAAGGGAGGATCAAGAGGGCGCTTCCTCTCCCACCCCAGTGCCTCCAACCAGCTGGGGCTCCCCGTGTATGGGGCAGGATCGGTGGCAGCAGGGAGGATGGAGAGCAGTGGGCAGAGGCTGGCCAGGGTGAAGGCTGGTGAAGGCTGGGAGGCTAGGGGTGGGGCCAGGGCTTGAAGGGTGGGTATGGCTAAAAAGAAGGGCAAATAGAGGCTCCCCCCTCACTGCCTTTGGGGGCTGCTAGGAATCTGGCTACACAGGTTTGGGCAGGTGTTGGGCAGCCAGCCTGGGTCTCGGAAAGGGCCCCCCACCCCACCACCCTCTGCAAGCCCTGAAAAAACCCGTCTCACACAGCCTTGGGGGTTCCACTCAGCCCAGCTGGTCGGCACGCTCCTAGGTTAACTGTTGCATCCTGTGTCCTGGCAAATCCTAAATTGGGTCTTGTCTCAGGCTGACCCCCAGCAACCCAGGCAACTCCAGACCCTGAGCATTTTCATTGTGTGTGTATATACACGTGTGTGACACACACAATTTGTGGAGGATCCAAATTTGCAGACCCTAATCCTGCTCTGGTCCAATATGTCCAACTCAAGCAGGTGGGACAGGCCACTGTGCACAGAGTTTGTCACTTGGAGGAAGTGGACATGAACACTCCCCCACCCCACAAACACACACACTCTTGGCCTCTAGGACTAGACAAAACAGCCCATCTCAAGGCTTCGGGACGAGGGAGGCTGGAGGAACCACTCATGGGTGGATG